GTCAGAGGGTTGACATCCCATGGAATCCAGGAGGAAAAGAGCAGCATGGTAGGGTGAAGGGACGGGAAGAGGCAATTGAGACTACAGTCACCCTTCAGCATCCTAGGAGACTGGTTACGGGACCACTGTGGATACTAGAATCTGCAGATGCTCATTTCCTTGATATAAAGGGCTTAATATTTGCGCACAATCTATGAACATCCTCCCTTATATTAGTATTTTAAACAACCTCTAGGTTACTCTTAATATGTATGATGTAAATGCTATGTAAATTGTTGTTACATTGTACTGATTTTTATTTGTACTGTTTTTTATTGTTATATTGTTACTTTTTATGTTTTATTTTTGAATATTTTCAATCTCCAGTGAATTTGCAGATAGGAACCTGCATACAGAAGGCTAACCGTAGTAAGAATGTCTAGGTGGGTGATCTCTGTACTGAAGACTTACTTTAGTTAACTAAAATCCGAGAAATGATTCTTTTTTTAAATTTAATTTTTATTACATCATAACTGTATACCCCATTTATGGGGTACAATGTGATGATTTGATATACAATGTGGAATGCTTAAATCAAACTGATTAACATAATCGTCACCTCACTTATTTTTTGTGGTAAGCGTTTATAATATTTTCTCAGTTGTTTTGAAATGTACCCTTGCCTTGTGTACATTAGGTGAGATCCCACCAAATACCCTACACTTGCCCTCCCCTTCCCCCCTCTTCTCCTCTCCTCCTTTCTTGGCTATATTTGTGTTTTATCATTCATATGAATGTGTGTTTATATAATGATTTCATAATAGTATCGCATACATTGGATACTTTTTTCCCATTCCTGAGATTCTTTACTAAGAAGAATATGTTCCAGCTCCATCCAGGTAAACATGAAAGATGTAAAATCTCCGTCTTTTTATGGGTGGATGGTATTCCACAGTATACACATACCACCATTTGTTCATCCATTCATGGGTTGATGGGCATTTGGGCTGCTTCCATGACTTGGCAATTATGAATTGGGCTGCAGTAAACATTCTGGTGCAAATGTCTTTGTGGTAAAATGCTTTTTGTTCATCTGGGTAAATACCTTGTAATGGAATCACAGGATCAAATGGAAGGTCAACTTTTAGTTCCTCAAGAATTCTCCACACTTCTTTCCAAAGAGGCTGCATTAGTTTGTAATCCCACCAGCAGTGTAGAAGTGTTCCCTTCTCTTCACATCCATGGCAGCAGCTGCAGTTTTGGGACTCTGTGTTGTGGGCTAATCTCACTGGAGTTAGGTGATATCTCAAAGTGGTTTTGATTTCCATTTCTCTGATGATTAAAGATGATGAGCATTTTTTCATGTGTTTGTTGGCCATTTGCCTGACATCTGCAGGGAAGTTTCTTGCCCACAAAGAAATGGGGTTGTTCTTTTCTTTTCTTTTCTTTTCTTTTTTTTTTGAGAACCACCTTAGGTGTATGTGACTGGTGCCTTAGCCACTTGAGCCACAGGCACTGAGCCGGTTGTTTTCTTATTGATTAGTTTGAGTTCTGTGTGGGTTCGAGTTCACACCTTTGTTGGAATCATAACCTGCAAAAATCTTCTCATATTCTGAAGGCTATCTGTTTGCTTTAGTTGTAGTACCTTTAGCTGTGCAGAAGCTTTTTAGCTTGATCAGATCCTGGTAATATATTATTGGTGTTGCTTCAATTGCCAAGGGAGTCCTCCTCATAAAATATTTTCCCAGGCCAGTATCTTCAAGCATTTTCTCTGTACTGTCTTCTAGTATTTTTATAGTTTCACGTCTTAAATTTAAATCTTTTATCCAGTGACAATCGATTTTTATTAGTGGTGGAAGGTGTGGGTCCAGTTTCAATCTTCTATAGGTTGCTAGCCAGTTCTCCCAGCACCATTTGTTAAATAGGATTCTTTTCCCTAATATATGTTTTTATTAGACTTATCAAAGATCAAATGACAATATGTGTCTGGGTTCATCTCTAGATTCTCTATTCTATTCCATATATCTACCCCTCTATTTTTGTGCCAGCACCATACTGTTTTGATCCCTATAGATTTGTAGCATAACCTGAAGTCTGGTATTGTGATGCCTCCAGATTTGTTTTGACTTCTAAGTAATGTATTGGCTATTCAAGTTTTTTTCGGCTTTAAAGTATGACATTGGTGCTTTGATAGGGATTACATTAAATCTGTAGAATGCTTGGGGTAGTATGGACATTTTAACAATGTTGATTATCTACTGAATGTATATCCTTCCATTCCTTGGTATTGGGGGCACTTGGTTCCAGATCATTCTCATCCCCCCTACCCTATGGATACCAAAACCTGTGGCTAGGTAAGTCAACTGTCCATATCTGTTGTTCAACTCAAATTTGGCTGAATCCGAAAATGCAGAACCACAGACAGAAAGGGCCTACTGTATGTATTGAAAAAAATTACTTATATTATGTAAGTGACCCTGGGCAGCTCAAACCTGCATTGTTCAAGGGCCAACTGTAGTAGAGGGTAAGACAATGAGGTGCTTCCTTGGCCAATGTATTATAGGTATTTTGAGATTTTGGTATCCTAAATCCCATATAATTATAGTATTCTGGGTAGAGAAGCCATAATCACCATTTAAAAAAATTACCCTCTTATTAATTTCATGCTGTCATTAAAATTGGTGCTTTAATCAAAGTGATGTCCTTACACCATTAAATCAGGAATATTTCTGAGTAAATTCACTATTTGTGATCTCATAATATTCTAAATGACATGCTACCTATTTGGTACTTAAGTACAATGAATTCATAATTTCTCTTCCTTTTGATGTGGATTAAGGTAAGGAATCTCGTCTGCTTCTCTTCTGGATCTAGCAGAACCATGTACATTTGCCTTTTTTTCTTTAACTGTATTATTTAAAAATATACTCCATTTCTCACTCTGGGAGGCCGAGGTGGGTGGATTGCCTGAGCTCATAGGTTTGAGACCAGCCTGAGCAAGAGTGAGACCCTGTCTCTAAAAAATAATAGCTGGGTGTTATGGCAGGCACTTGTAGTCCCAGCTACTAGGGAGACTGAGGCAAGAGAATTGCTTGAGCCTAAGAGCTTGAGGTTGCTGGGACCTATGACCCCATGGCACTCTACTAAGGGTGACAAAGTGAGACTCTGTCTCAAAAAAATAAAATAAAATAAAATTATGTTCCAGTTCTAAGAATATAGCTGTTGTCTTTAAGTGAAATTACATGGACAACACTGCAGTCATTAGAATGGAGACAAATGACTTGATTAATAGAATGAACCTCTCCTCAAGGGAACTGATCCCAGTGCTTATATTTTTTGATATATTCTGAGAAAATCTCTTTAGACTACTGGAAATTCTTCTTTGTTTCATTACTGCTATGATTTACACATTTTAAGCAATCAATTTGATATTGCTTCTGTGTGTTTGAGCACATGATTTTCTGGTCTGTGTTTAGCAGATAAATTCTCTTTTATCTGGAAGCTTTGAGCATTAGTGCTTTTTGTGAAAAAAAGTCTATTAGAAAATAGGAGTAGAAAATTGGCCTCATGACTGTCATTTTGTCAATCCAGCAGAGCGTATGGGACTCATCCCATTTTTTGTTGTTGTTTCCATCCTTGTTCTTGATAGGCTGGGAAGTGATGATACCCGTTTTGAGGTTAGCATGGCCAACAACGGATGCGAAGTGCATCGTTTTGATCCTAGTGTCAAATCAGCCCATGTTCTGCAGAATCAGCGCCTTTGGTATCACCGCTTGTCCATTGACTGGCGGGACCCCCATCCAGCTGTTGCCGCTCAAAAGCCACACAGCAGCACCAGAAAACTGGGAAGCGTTTTGAATGAATTTGGGCATCACAAGGTGAGAGTTTTTTCATTTGACTTCATAATTAAATATAGTGAGCAAACCCCATAACCTTTCTCTAAAAACACAAATCAGGGATGACAGCATTGACATTGGACAGTTGGAGGTCCTGTTTTAATGTTACAAATCAGTCAACGTTATTTGTAGAGTCAACTCTGTAAGCATAAAGATTTGGCAAAGATAATAGCTATTTAAATTGATTTGGATTGGAGATTTGAGTAGTTGTTGAGTAATGCTAAGGCCTTGGCCAAGACTGAAGAAGAAGACTGAGAAATTTATTTCTGGTATAGGTTGAAGAATATTATTTCTGTTTGGCAATTATTTAAAATTTTCTGAAAGAGCAAACTACTTATGTTGACCTCAAATACAAAAAATAATAAGAGCTAGGTTTGTATTTGGTAAGAGATTGTGTGTGCCTTGTTTCTCACTGTTGTAACATGTGTCTCATGTTTACCATTATTTTGAGTCTCTGGGTTTTTTTATGTTATGTTATGTTATTATTATTATTTTTAAGACAGAGTCTCAGTATGTTGCCCTCAGTAGAGTGCTGTGACATCACAGCTCACAGCAATCTCAAACTCTTGGGCTTAAGTGATTCTCTTACCTCAGCCTCCCGAGTAGCTGGGACTACAGGAGCCCGCCAAAACACCCAGCTATTTTTTTGGTTGCTGGTGCGGGTGCCACCCGAGTCTCTGGGTTCTTAAAGTTCAGAAAATGTGTAGCTTTGATAAATTACTTTATAAAAATTGAACGAATGTTTATGTATTTTATGTAATTATGTAAAAGGATGTCAAATTTCTGCAAATATTTTATTGTGAATGGACAGCAAAAATGGAACTCACTCTTTGAACTGTGCTCCTTGAAAGCAATTTTTAGTGTAGTGTGCCCAAACTAATTGAATTCTGTAGGCAGGGGCTAAAGAAGTTCTCGGGAGTGCAGTTGGCTTGTGTTTGAGCTCCAACCCTTATTGGGTTTGGCTGATCTCAGCCTATCATTCCCAGCCAGAAGTGTCATGTGATTTAGAACTTGTCAGAAAGGGAGTTTTTAGTTGAGAGATAGTATGCACGGGACTCAATTTTAAATTTGAGTTGGCTTTTTGGTCTTTTAGTAAGAGGCTTTGTTCCTCTCCTCTTCTTCCTCCTCTCCCTCTCCTTCACTTCCTCCTCCTCTTCATCTCCCCTTCTTGTTCTCTTCCTCCTCCTCCTTCCTTTAAACACCCCTTAATTAGACAGCCCAAGCTTCTTCAAGAACAACTTCAAAGAATGTGCTCTTCTTTTAACATGCCATTAACTATTGATTTATATTTTGCCTTGCCACTGATAGGAACTAGCATTTAATAGTCAAGGGCCTTAATGAAACATACATAATTTGGGGGCATAAAATCCCAGAACAGAACCCTTTTTAACATGCTATTAATGTTTAAAATATGTGTGGGAAGAAGCAGGAACATTTTTCAGAACTTTATTTTTATTAAATATATGATTTTATTTTCTTGCTACTTGTTACCTTTGTAGACCTGCTTTTTACAGCTGAAAATTACAGGCCTAATTCTCTAATGTGCCAACTCTGGATTGCTCAACAAGCCAGCTACTTACTGTTTGTGCGCAGTTAGGAGTCTTGCTGCTCACCTTTAATGCTCCTTATACCTTAGTCCTCTCCAGGCCCATTCTTCAAAGAAAAGAGAATTCAGTGCCATTTTGCTTTCTTGGATAATATTTTAGCAAAAGATTTGGTAATGGTAAGGGTAAAATTAGACTTTGAAAGGTGATCTGTGGATCTAACCACATTTCTTATGGAAAATGTGTTTTTGGATGACAAGGAATGTTCCTGAATTGTTTTTGTTTAGCTCCCTGGGAGCTGCCTGGGGCAAACCTTTATGCCAAAAGATAATGTATAGCGCTTTTAGCAACAGTGCTTCTGAGACAGCAGAAATCTTTGCAATGATGCCCAAAAAGGAGAAATGCTTTAAGGGATGGCTTATATTCCTAAGGCTACTTATTTTTATTAAAAAACATTCACAGTGTGAGTGATCAGGCTCAGAATTGCTAGATATGCATTTGCTGCTTTAAGAAATTTTTTTTCCTTGTTGAAGAATTGAAAAGATACTGATATTCTTCCATAGAGATTGTGTGTGTGTGTGTGTGAATGCTTTTAAAGCAAAAACAACAAAAGCTAAACCCTTAGGCGAGGGATTGCTTCCATTAGGAACATGCTTCTAGGAGCTATGTGGTGCCAGATAAAGGAAACCTTGTTTGTGGCCTGTAGCAAACATGGTCTGTTTTCATTTTTCTGCCTGTGAACAGACATCAGTTAAATAGGATGTGGCTGGGCCAGGGGAAGCAAGTAGGAAAAAACACAATAACAAACATCAACACTTTCTGCCTGGCCTCCTTGACTCCTTTATTCTGAAAATGACCATAGAAACCAAAGCATTTTTAGTTGTTTGTTTTTAGTTCATGACTTTGAAATAGCCCACATTGTTTGGTAATAATTTCCGTGTTAGTCTGTTGTTATTTTCTTTATCCATCCCCACATTCCAGCCACTCAAGCAAAAACATGGGCAAAAATGAAAGCGGTATTCTGAGATAGTGACCGAAGGATGTACGTGGCTTTTGTACTGCTTTTAAATTCTTGGTTAATTTTAACTTCAAGCTATAAATTAAAAAACAAAAACAAAAACACCTTTCTAAAGCATCAAGCTGCAGCAGCTGCAGCAGCAAAACTATGTGGACTAGAAGCTCAGTCAGTGGGAGAATGACAGCACCTGGGTCCAGCATTATTTGAAATGATTCACTGTCTCCTCCTCACTGAAGTGGTTGTGGCTGTTAACTAAGCATATGTATTTTTCCAGAATATGACTAGAAATATTGAATCTGAAGTTTCTGCTCATATTAATCATAATGGACACTTTTCCCCCCATAGTCTCCGTTATACCCTCAGAGTGTCCTAAATGATCCAAGTGGTAGTGAATGAGACATTCTAAGAGTTGTTGCTATGTATGAGTAACATGGCTGCCCAAGAGTTTACCATTGTAAGCTCATTAATCTAGGTTGGAAGGATGGGTCCTCTTCGTGGCTTTTGGCATTGGCCAAGTCATTTAACCTCTCTGGTGCTTAGGTTGCTTGTCAGTACAACAGGGACAGTTTTCTGAGAACTAGATACGAGAACACAGTGAGAAAGGTCTCCTGCAGAAGGCCCAGTGTGAATTAGTCACTTGAATATTTTCAATAATTTCAAAGGATTTCCTTTTTAACAAATTTAGGAAGTTTTTACTAAATTTTATGATCAATCTTGTCTTTTTTCTTTCTTTCTTTGTTTTCAGGGAAAATAAATCAGAGATTTCTCTGGAAATTGCTAACTGCACATAAGTGCAATCAAGTTTTTTTAAAAATGTCATTCCTTTATTGGTTTGGACTTTTAAAAAATTCCAAAATATTAAGGGGGTACAGATGTTTTTGATACATAACTTAAGGTGACCAGATTTTAACATTGGTTAAGTGGGACACCATTGGGGGGGGGGCAGGGCCTGACAACAATGCAAAATTTGATAAGCTCAAATTTAATCAGTTCTCAACAATTATTTGTTATTATTAAAGTTTAACATTATAAAATTAACAAAAATAATATAAAACTCATATCCTGGCAAAATAGTCACATGGCAGCCGAAAACCATATATTCCCTTCCTGTTCTCCTGTGTTCCCTAGCTTGTGCATTCTTTCCAAAAATCGGGGCTTTTTTAAAACGCCACAGGACACAGGACAAATTGTTAAAAATCAGGACTGTCCCACGAAAAGCGGACGTCTGGTCGCCTTACTCTAGAGGGGAGGGCTACTTGTTTGTTCCAGACAGTTTGGCTCCTTCTGAGCTAATTGTCCTTGCCTAGAAGCAAAGGAGGGAGCCAGTCTCCTTCTGATACCTTGCCCAGGAGGGGAGTAGGGAGTTTACATTAGCCTTTTCATTTCCAAATGAAGTTACATTAACCTCTTCATTCCCAAATAGAGTTACATTAACCTTTTCAGCAGCCAAAAACGTATATTCCCTTCCCATTCTCCCGCTGTTCCCTAGCTTGTCATGCATTCTTTCCAAAAATTGGGACTTTTTTAAAACGCCGTGGGACAAATTGTTAAAAATTGGGACTGTCCTACCAAAAGTGGGACGTCTGGTCACCTTAACATAGCTTAAGTCAGGGCTGTAAATGTGTCCATCATTCAAATAGTGTTTATTGTACCTGGTAGGTGGTTTTTTTGGTTTTTTTGTTTTTTATCATTGGGGATTCATTGAGGGTACAAGAGCAATCAAGATTTTTAAATGAAAGCTTTGTGGGAAACTGAAGGGTAATTGGCCTCTCAGACATGATTGTAGAGAATTATTATTTCCTGTCTTGGGGCACGAACAGCTTTGCTGGTGACTGTATAGAAAGTAAGCACTGTACTGTATGGAGATTACATAAGCTGCTGAGTCTTAACCAGATCTGTCCCATGCAGAGCAGGTGTAGACCACCCGGTCTTGGGCACACTGCTCAGACAACCCAGGGGGAGCTGGACTTCCTGCCTGTCAGCGCCGGGTGACAAGTCCTTCTTTGCCTGTCTTTGTCACCACTCAGGCAGCAGCTCAGCAGTGTCTGCTTGGACCATCACGGGACCACCAGTTTCTGCCTCTGTTGGCTGGGATATCGCTATTGATTCCAGAACATCCATTTTCTTGTGTAGTCCATAGTATGTTTGAAAGAATATGGACTTTGAAAGTAAACTGCAAAAAGATTCCCTTTTTTTTCCTTTTGTGTATTAAATTGACATACATAAGCAAGATATTGATACTGCCCTGTATTGGAATGTTTGTTGGAAATAATAACACATTGCTGGTGGAAATGGAAAATAATCTCCTCTTTCAGGAAGAGCATTCAACCATAAGCATATATTATTTCTCTTTCTATTTCCAGAAATTATTTTTGCCTTAAATTCTATTTTATCTGATATCAGCTCTCTTTTGATAAGTA